CACAAGTCACAGAGGTGCGGAGGAACGTCCACCTTACGGGAGCATGCCCCGCCTTAACGAGCAGCTGTCCCATCACGGCAGCCTTCACCGCCTTGACAGCCAATCACGGCATAGCAGTGTACGGGACTTGAGCAATGCTCCACCCACTAACATAACTCACGGTTCCAGCATGAACCGTGTGATGGAAGAAGATGGAGCGAGTGCATAACTACAAGAGACAGAGTTGTGTTTACAGACACTGTCCTCAGTGTCAGCTCAGGGCTCGGACCTGAACGTTCACAAAGAGGCTCCTTGCTTTGCAGAAGCAGGAGAAGGTGCTAATCTGAAGACTGCATTCGTCCTCGTACTCCAAAGTTCCATTTTTCATGTGTAGGATCACCATCAGAAGGGACTCGAGGCCTTCATGTCCACAGAGTGGATTTTATATCGTGCATGGTCTGTGATACACCTTACACCTGATAAGACCAGATGGTTTCTTTGATACTGTGAAGTTCAGGGTGATTGGGAGGTAAAGTGAGTAAGTGTAAAGTGATACAGCGGCAGGACTCTGCCCCCTGCTAAGTGACTGTAGTACGGTGGCAGTTTCTCACAGTTAAGGGTGGGAAAAAAAGAGGGCAGTGTGCAGCTGTCCACAGGCTCAGAGCTGAAATGCCTCAACCTGCTGACTCACAGCTTTTTCCCCATTAGATCATCTACACCCCTCAAAGCCCTCCTTAAAGCAACTCTGGATCCCAGTCACTGGATGACGAGATGAGGATCCTTTAGCTCTTGGGTTTAAGCACTGAAAGCCAAGGGCAGATAAAGTAAGAAGGAGAATTTGGCTGAGGTTACTATGAACCTTGGCATTGATGTGCCTCTGGCAAGTGACTGCATGTATCGTTTTCATTTGGTAGAGTGGAAGAGGATGGGGAAAGTAAAGGCTTTACTCGTGGATTAGCTCGTTTGATGTATACATTTTCTGTATACGTGTACATTAACTGCAGTACTTCTCAAGAAAAGTGTACCAGAAAACCTCACCATCACCAGATGTGCTTAGTCCTTCATCCCCACGTTCCCTGCTGCACCTACCTCATCAGCCCAGAGGTCCCATGCCTGCCTTTCCTGAGATCACAGTGAACACTTTGCCTATGTTCCTTGTCCTGTTAATGACATTTTTCTTTAGTCTGTTTGCAGCACTCTATATGCAAAAAGCTTTGGAAACCGTACTCCTGCCTGAAATTTCTGTTGGTTACTTCATTATGCAACGTGTGCTCCTACTGTAAGATGTTATTTGTGTAACACTGTAAAATGTTTCTCCTTCCAGTCAGACTTATCTGGGGAAGAAAACAAAATTTGATATAACTGGAGTTATTTATAACAAGGTATAAATATTTGGTATTGTCTGACATTTTATTATGAGCTGCACCAAGTCAAGCGTTTGTTAAAATGTAGCTGAACCGAAATGTTGGGTCATTATCCTGCTTTTGTTTACCTGTTGAAAAAGAGATTTAACGTTGTGGTTTTCAGTGCCTGAAAATGTGACTGTGGACCTGAGCTTTGTAAACTGGCCACATTTGTGACAGCTACTACTGCTTCTCCAGTATCTTTGCCTTCAATCTCCAAAGTATGCTTAATCTTCATGCTGAATTCCTTTGTCGGTTGTACAGACTGCAGATTTTTGTAGAGGGAAAAGATTTAGCACTTTAACAGTGGTTAGCTGTTATGCTGAATGTGTATAGACGTTCTTTTCAGTTCTAGGGTCACGCAAGACTTAAATAAAATTTTTATAAAGAAAAATATACATTTTACAGCCCTCAGTAGCTCTTATTTCTACTCTTTTTAGTGTCTGTTCCTTTATTCTCGAGACAAGCATAAATTAACAGTCATGAGTAAAGTTCAGTTTTGTAACAGCTCCCCATTTTATTGTAATACATCAGTCATGTTATGGGTTCTGAATGTGAAAAGAATGGTGGCTAATTAAATATAAACTCCATGACATTCCACCTTAAATAAGAATGTGCCCAAAAAACCCAACAAACAAAAAAAGAAAAATGTAGTGGGGTCATCCTCTTGTTTACATCCCAAGCTTCCACACCACACAGATCAATAAAATAAGCTAAAACAAAACAAGTGGAAAAATCCAGCCTTGGAATCTTTAAAACAAGTGATTACACCTATGACATGCAAAACTGTACACATTCTTACAAAAAAAACCCTTAAAGTCTAGAAAATATAATGTATGATATGAAATAGCAGTTAACATACAAGGCAGAGTAAACACTCATTGAAATGCAGGTGTGTTTGTGTTTTAAATCGTCCCTCAATTCTGCTCTAAAATCTAATCCAAATTCCTACCTACACTGCCCAGCATTCAAACGAGGTCAACTAAGGCACCTTCCTCTAATGTTGCCCTATACACAGCTAATTAACAGTCCTAAAATAACACCAAATGACAGACAAAGGAATAGCCATGTCTGTCACTGTGCTCTCTCTCTATTCCTCACCGTAATAAAATAAATCATTGGTTCTAACATACCTGAGTAACATCTCAAACAGGTTTCCTGTTATATTATACCATAATTCTGGTATAAACATTCTACCCATCGTAGCCCGAATTCCACAAGGCAAAAGCACTCTGAATTAAGCTTACATTATGGAGTATGGTCATTCAAATTCAGTAGGAATAAACATGACTATGTAATACCTCAAAGGCATAAGTAAGGTCCCAAACAATACCAAACATTGCAAATAAACTGTTCATTTAGGAATACAATATGCCAAGACTGGTCCACAGTGAAAATGTGAATAATGTTTGCATAAAGGTGTATATATATATATATATATATATATATATATATATATATATATATATATATATATATATATATATATATATATATAAATGTCGCTGTTGCCAGAAAACCTTGTAACTCCAGAATGTTTAGATTTGTTTTCCACTCATGAACTCACAGCAGAATGTCTCCTGTATATCCTCTCTGCAGTTCACAGATCTGAGAGTTAATAAAAACAACTCCATACATCTTAAAAGTTTAAAATCAGGTCAAATGAGTGAAGGATACAAAAATTCCCTTCTCCCTTGAACAGCTGTTCAGGAGACAAAGTTTCACAGAACTGCGACAATAGGCCGAAAATAACAACCGTTCAGTCTTGTGACACTTTTAGATATACATACTTTTGTGATATCCATACTCAAATGTGTGCTTTTATAAATATTTTTTCTTTAAGATGCAACATTTGCCCTGTAACACTGTCTAAACTTTGGAATTTGGGTAATTTATACATTGCTCCAACAGCCTGAATTACTGGACCCTATGAATATCTTGAAAGGAATAATCAGCATTAAACAATATGCCAAAAGGATTTAAAAAAAAAGCTTTGTCACATAAAGACAAACTCAAAATCATAAGATACTTACATCTAAAAACATGAATTGCCACTTCATAATGTGTAGTGTACGGAATGAGAGAGATCGGGCCTGTCAAAGTTCACACTAGCTTGTTGTACGCACTGATGTGACAAAAGTTTAGCAAAAGTGCACAAGCATTTGTTAAGGCCGCAAGTTTGCGGGTTTGCACTGTGGGACAGGCAGTTGTGGATAGTCTCACAATGTTAACACTCTTCCCTGATATTTCCCAAGCAACGTTTTAGACTGCCACTAAAGCTTCGAACTTCACCAAATACTGCTTCAATTAAGTCTTCAGTTAAAGCACATCACACTGTGATGGAAACATCTGAAATACTTACCAAAAAGCACATGTGCACACACACAAGTACATAAATCCACAAGTGTGAACTTTGGGACAGGGGGTTGGTGTGCTAATCTGAATTATAGTGAATGGCTTGCCTCACTAATCTGAGGTATGTGAGACCCAGGGGTGGTTGATAGTCGAACTTTGCACTCTATACATTCCCTGAATAAAAAAAAAAAAATCATTACAACAGCTTAGCGTTATTCCCTCGCTGAACCTATAATAATTCATCTCACAATTTGCCATCAACGTCAGAAATAAAACTTTTCCCTCACTGTCCCCATTTTGTCATTACCAGCTACAGGAAGTAGCAGAAGTAGAGGCAACAGATATATGCACCAGTGAGATCAAGTTAAAGCCCTTGAATGCTCCGCTGTGGGGAGAAGCACTCCAAAGCTTAACCATATTGTGATGTCTGCGTGTCACACAACAGTGACTTTAGTGTCATAAAACCAGTGGTAACATACAGATTACACTTTTTATGTATACATACACATCAGGCTACGTTTGGTTTCTGTGTTCTGAGTCATGTGAGTCAATAAACACACATTACAACAAATTAACCATAACAAAAAAAAGACAAAAACTGTAATAACGATTTAACAAAAATTCTTTGGAAACAGCATTATTGCTCTGGTAAAGAAACCATGACGTACACAAAATTAGGCAAGGAGAGGAGGACACAGAAGAAGGCTGCAAAAAGTCTTTGATACATTCACCACAAGGCTTATGTGACTGTGGAATTGTGTTTCTATGCTCTTATATGTTCTCATGTGTATTCATACACATCCACATACACGTGCATTCATGTGCCTGGTTTTTCCGAGCACTGTTTGGATACAGTATTTGCTAGAGTTTCCCTAATGAGTTAATTCATCCAGCCGAACTCAGTGGAATTATGAATGTTTACTCTGATAAAATAATGCTGAAATTGTTAAATTAAAACTTGTTGCATCAAAGTTTTGACACACAAAGTCAAAAGGAAATACCACTCTCCAAGTCACACTTTTTTCACAATATATGTGTTATCATAATATATTATACTCTACTTAAACTCTATGTACATTATTAAACGCAGTCTATTTCTACTGTATTCCAAGCTTTACATGTGAAAGATCAGCATGGCACCAGAGTGCAGAAGTTGGTTTAAGTGTAGTGCCGAGGCTGGGGACAACGTTATGTTGTCTTGTCTCCACTGTAGAAGTGGTTTAATAAGTGTACAGTTTATAACTCCTCTCTGAATTCACCATGTTTTTAAGCAAAAGGAGACCAAAGAATGGTGTCTTGACTGTAGTGTTTTTTTTTTTTTAAATTAGGAAGGTATAGGTATTTCGATTACTTTAATATGTTAAGTTTAAAATAATATTGCAACTGGCAGATAAAATCATTAAAACTTTGCAAAACTCTAAGATGGCAAAGTACTGAATGTTTCTTCCTCTAAACAAAACCCACTAGGGGGCAATGTTTTCTTTTTTTTCCATAACACACGTCCAGGTACTTCTCCTCCAGATGTGAAGCACTAGTTCAGGTCTTTCACTGATAGGTAAAAAAGTGATGCCAAAGCAAGGCTTAAAAGGCTCAGGTGTAGTTTAAATGTGCATCCTGTATAAACACAATAACCCAATCTATTTTTGCAGGAGTTGCTAACACACTACCCCATGTGTAGTGTACAAATTTCCTTCTGGGAGTCAGTTCATCACTTATCTTTTTACCTAAGGGAAAAAAGGGGTCTTCAAGCTCTTGAGGCCTCCAGCAGAGCCAGGGAGGAGGGTGAGTGGGTGGCAGACTGGGGCTGGCCTCAGGTCTCCCAGCCTGGGTGCTCGCTGCGTTCCAGGGATTGGGACTTGATTTTATGTGGGGAAGATGGACTTGGTGGGCTGCTTAGGTTGGAGCTGTTGGAGGCTGTTGAGTGTCGTGGTGAATCAGAGTCCTGAAGGTTTGAAAAACAAAGAATATATAAATATATGTATTTTTTTAGGGGGGGGGGTTATTTCACACCATTTTACTTGCTAGCACACTGAAAAGTCTATATATATATATATATATATATATATATATAAAGAGAGACCAGTCACACTATAACAACAATAATTTAGCATTACAGCAGAGGGACACTAGGATCTGGCTCAGTATCTGGTGCTGTTGGCTTCACAGAGGCAGAACACTAAAGTCAACATCAGTGTCAGCTCCGTCTGCTGCCTATGACTACACACATGGCTGAACACAGCACATTCTTGCAGAGAGCTTCTAAGGAACCTGGGGAATGCTCTGAACTAGAGATCTTCATAGGTATGATACAGACCCAAACTGAAAGAGGCTTTAATTACTTAAGGTAAGTTTCTCTGTGATGGCTTACAGCCAAACAAGAGTGCAGGTGACCCACTGAAAGGAATCTGCATTACTTAACATGCATCCAACCACCCATCCGCCCACTCACCCACCGCTGTCGCTGAATTTATCCATTTTATTCAAACAGCCAAACTGAATTTTTGAACCCTAATGAGTTGATCTTCAGGTTTTCAGGTCTAAACAAACCCATGAAGAGCTCTTCTGTGAGCACAGGGCATCACTAATCTAGTTGCTCCCTGTGAGGCAGGTTGGATGGACATATGAGGTGTAGCTGGGAAATGTTGTGCTGCTGGTTGTTACCTTTATCTTACTAATCAGAGTCCTTAAAGCCCTTTTCACATCAGGGGTCTTGCCTGTGGGCGAAACTGCCTGCCACTACAGAAAGTCACATATCGGCCACATATCATAATGGAGTCCACACACCATGCGGCAGAACAGGATGCAGAGTGTGTGTCTATGTTTTTTTTGCTAATAGAACAGCTCTCATTCTTTGGCATGGTGCCACATCACATCACTCATTACGTGCAAGTAGCGTGGGAAAGAAAGGGAAGGAGCTTTTGTAAAAAAAAAGTGAGTTTTGAGTGTGAAATGGATGCTTTGGCCTATCTATCTATGTATAACAGGGATGGTTTCAAACCAATACTGTGCTTTAAAGCAAATATTTATCTAGCTGTGAACTAATCCAGCATAATAACTCCACTGAAACAAGTAATGCATTGAATTTACTTGATTCAAATGCAAACATAATTCCATGAATTACATGAATTAAATGTATTACATCAACAGAAGTTTGTCTTTCAGTTTATATGCTTTTGGCAAAAACTGTGTTGATATATATATATATATATATATTACATATATATATATTACACACATACATATATATATATATATATATATATATATATAATTCTTTTTTCATTTGGAAATGGAAATTACGTACAGTTAAATCAAGCAAATTTAATCCCTAATTTTTGCCAGTGTAACCTAATACTGCTGCCAAGTGCAAATTAGAATCAAGCAGAGAACTCCAGGGGTAGAAAATTTTACCTGTCAACAGCTTTCTGAAAGTCAAGTTTAAGAGATTCCATAGACAAATGCATAAAAAATGCACTACTCATACAAATCATGAAGTCTCTTCTGTAACACACTGAGAATGATGCATTTTGTTTGACAGTTTAGCAATCATTAAAACCAGCATCTACGAAATGTCAAAACCACACACGTCTGTTCCAGACTTCCCCCCTACTGCATCATTACGTACCTCTCTGTCAAACTGGGAGAGGGGGGCGTCACCCCCGCAGTCCACACCCCCACCAGATGAGAGTGAGCCCTCAGAGGGTGAGGTCATCGTCTGTCGCTTTGTGGAGCCATAACTTCCACTAGAAAACTCTCGCCTCAGAGCACTGCCATTCTGAGAAGATGAACCTACAAGGGAAAGAAACCATTAAAAGGGGATTCTTTTAAGACTTTCAACTCAAATAAATAAATAAATAGGCCTGAGTAAAACTCATGTTTCTCCACTGGCTCCTGGCACCATCTATTTGCATACTGGATATGTCTTTTGTACTTGTTTTACTCTGCCTCTGTGTGATGTCCTCCAGTCTGACCTACCTTCCCTCATGTGCGCATCTCTCTTCTATTCTTTTGTTAAATGTATAGCCTTATTTAGTTAGCCATAGGGGCAAATTGTAATACGATAATTATATTGCTTTTATTTACTTTCAGTAGCTGAACATAGACATAATATATAAACACATAATATATACTTTTAATTAATTTCTTATTTGGGTTTTCTCTGTTCAAAATGCACTGTCCATGATTGTTGAGTTAATTTAAAGAGCTGTTTTATAAGGGTTGTGAAACTTATTATTATTTTCAGGAAACGCCTCATATTATTTCTCATATGGCTCTGGGAAGCTTTCTCTTGCCCTCCCCTACTGAAGCTTCTGCACTTACGTGTGCCGAGGCCACTGCTGGCACTCATTGAGCGTCCAGGCTCAGGTCTGGCCTTGCTGATGGAGGGAATGCTGACAGAGCCACCCAGTACTCCACGGCTCTCCTGAGGACGCACATTCTGCACAGCACAAGAGCATTTGATATAAAAGAGGTCAGTGCATAGAAAAGTGACTTGAAATGCATTTCTGAGGCCAAAAAAAACAAAAACAAAACAATTCAGCACACTATCATGACTTAATAGTTCTAATACCTCTGTTGAGCTGCATTCTGAAAGTCGGCATGCTTTACAACACTTGTTCAAACTTGAATTTATTCAATCTACTTAATTTTAACTTAACAGTTGTTTTTTTTAATTCATTATTTTATTTTTCAAAATGTTAACTATAATGGCATGTGCACACTTCTTAAAAATTGTATTATTATTATTTTTTTTAAGATTAAAATTCTATACTGCTACAGACTACTGCCATGAGTATCCACTTTCACTTTCAAATCGTCATGATGTGGTCAAGAAATCAAAGAATAATCCAACAACCTATGAAGCACCTGTAATAATAAGAAAGATGAATGACTGTATAGTATGGAATGAGGTAAAGAGTTACAGTTTTTAGGGAGGTTCAAGCAAAAGGAACATGGGTCAGCCACACTGTCTATGATAAATGATGTATGTGAAGGATCCTGGTCCTACCAGAGAGCAGATGGAGGCAGGGGTCCCTGGGGCAGAGCTTAGAGATGGGGAATGGGAAGAGAGAGGGGAGTCCTGGGACAGGAAGTTGTCGGCAGAGGTGACAGTCATGTGATAGACATGCTCAAAGCTGGTAGGGGCGGAGATGAGGCGCAGGTGGGGAGAGGGAAGAGGAGACCCTGGCTATAGCATAAGATTGAGGAGAGCATGGCAGTCAAAGAGAGAGTGAGATGGTGGAACAGAAAGGGAGATGGAAAAAAGCCATCCTCATCTGTACTGAGGAGTGATGTACGGCAGATTCATCAGAAATGGAACAGTGGGGGGAAGGAAGAGTGATTCCCAGCATGCAATATTTAAATCATGAAAGTCAGACATGACACCAAAATAAAGAGAGATGCAGGTAAGGAGAAATGTAACTGCAATGCTTCGCTGGTCTTACCATTGGTAAATCTTTAAGTATTTGGATCCCATCTCCTGGGCCCATATGAACGACATGATTGAAGTTAATTGGATTTGAGATCAATTTATTTCTCATCTCAGGATCTCTAAGCATCTCTCTGAAAGCACAAAGTGACAAAAAATGACATAATATTACACATTGGTCAGTGAATTGTACATGGCGCTGCAGTAAACCTTGGAGTTGTCTATTAGATCAGTTAAGTTTTATCACCTCCGCTGCTGCAGCCTCTCCTCCTCTGGCACTCTGAAAGAAAAGCGCCGTTTGCTTGTCATACTGCGTACCATCTGCTTCCTGCTGTTATCAGATGTCTCTGGAACCACCAGCTCATCTCCCTCTGCAACAGATGACATTATCAGTACAGACTTACTATTACAACAATCTAATTAGTGGATTAGCAAGAACTACGCCATTATCTTATACTCAATAAGCTACTTCCGCTCCTCATAGCTTGGATAAGGAAGGGATAATATGCTCTAAATTTATCTTCATTTCTGTCATAGGAATAGTGTGCATCATCATGTATGGAAATACACTGACCAGCCAGTTCATTAAGTACAGCTACCTTTTTCTACAATCATTGTACATTCTATCAGCTCCACTTACCATAGAGGTGCACTCTGTAGTTTTACAATTACAGACTATAGTTCATCTGTTTCTCTGCATAATTTGTTAACCCCTTTCTTCAATGGTCAGAACCTCCACAGGCCCACCACAGAGCAAGTATTATTTGAGTTTGAGATCATTCTTAGCACTGCAGTGGCTCTGACAGTGGTGGCATGTTAATGTGTGTTGCACTTGTATGAGTGGATCAGACGCAACAGTGCTAATGGAGCACTCACTGTCGACTCTATTAGACACATCTACCTGGTTGGTCCACCTTGTAAATGTAAAGTCAGCAATAATCTGTTACTGCACAGTCAGTTATCCTCTAGTCCTTCAGAGCATACCACCCAAAGGACGCTGTTGGCTGGATATTTTTGGTTGGTGGACTATACTCAGTCCAGCAGTGTCACTGAGGTGTTTAAAACTGCAGCAGCACTGCTGTGTTTGATCCACTTGTACCAGCGCAACACACTAACGCCACCACCAGGCCAGTGTCGCTGCAGTGCTGAGAATGACCCACTACCCAAATGTGTGGTGGTCCTATGGTGGTCCTGACTACTGATGAACAGGGTGAAAGGGGAATAAAAAATTATGCCGAGAATCGGATGAACTACAGTCTGTTATCGTAGTACTACAAAGTGCACCTATAGTGGAGCTAATAAAATGTACAGTAAGTGCAGAAATGTTAGTAGTATATTAATCACATTTAATTGCTATAATACAACAGTAATTCTTGCATTAAATTTAGCTAGCGATCTTACCAGCTGTCTTATTTTTGAAGTAGATGAGTCGCACTGTCTCAAGCCCCAGTAGGTTCAAAGAGCCGTCTATATTTAGAGGGTGAACCTAAAATCACAGAACACAACCAGTGCATTACAGAGTACACAATGAGGTATTATTTAGGTGTATTATGTAGCCTGCACTCTGTTTTTTCCCCCCAGCCTTTTTTGATGCTCAAATATGTGTACCGACTAATTTGATCACATGGCTAAGACTTGTTCAGTCCTAAGTTGTGCAACATACATGTGCTAAACATCTACCTTTTTGAGAGGAATGGTCTGAATCCACTCCATATTGTTCACGTCAAAAACATCCACAGCATTCTCACTGTATACCGACAAGTAAGGTGCATTATAACCTGTAGAAAGCAAAACAAAACAAAAAAAGAAATCTTTGTCAACATCTTGAACACCTCCAATAATGGTAAGTTGAACTGCTGAGAGTTTGTCATGGTATCAGTGTACACAGCACTTACAACAGGCAGTTGGCACAGCTGGCCACATGAGCTCCTGCTGGCGTGAGCGCCTGCCTTGGCAGTCCACGTAAACTCCAATACTGCTGAAGCACAAGAGAAGCTCTTTAGTGGAGATTTCCACAGCGCACAGTGCATCCAGGCTCAGTTGCCCAATGAAAGCCAGAGTGTGATCCTCTGGATGGAGTAGGTTTGTGGGGGGTCCGTCCCCCTGCAAGTTGTAGCGCAGGAAGCCAGCCTGGTAACCTACACACAGCTTGTCCCCCTGCAGAGCCATCCATTGCACCACACCAGACACCTGGAGCTCCCTTAACTTCCTGTGCCGCACCTTACTCTTGTTAAGCTCATAGCAGATGACCTGTCTTTTCATGGCCACACACAGGCAGGTGAAAGCTCCGTGTCTCATTGTGCCGGAAACTAGGGTCTGGCAGCCCTTAGTCTCAGGGAGCTTGTAGAAGTCTGTGTCACGGTCGTCCAGGGCCGCCATGGGGAAGAGACGCACATGACGATTACGGCCAGAGATGACAGCAAGCAACTGCTCAGCAGGGATCAGCTCAATGTGGTGGACCTTTTTATTATCCCCAACCTTGATGATCTCTGTAAGAGAAAGCAGATGAAATTCATAACTGCAGTAAAGAGGGGACAAAGCACAGTCCATCACAGCCTCAGTTATGCTATGTTAACAACTGACACAATGCTTACCATCTTTGGTGACATGGATAACATACAGCCCCTCCTCATTGCCCAGGGCTATCCTTTCATGATCTGTAAAGAATGACATCAGAGGAACGTAGGCGAAATTCATTCAAACAAACAAACAAATAGCTAGCCAAGTGTTGGTTTTGTCTAGTTAGAATTAACTGGAGATGAAGTATCAACAAAAACACTGAAAAATGTCTCTATACATGAGCTTTATGAGAAACAAGTGTCAGCGTGTCCTAACTAAAGCAATACCTATTATAGCAGCAGACTGAGTGGTTTTGATGAGAGGCAGGGTGCTGTCGTAAGCTTCTTTAGGTACGTAGACAAAGCGCTCCTTCAGCTTGTTCTTCTTTAGGAGACGATGCAGCTCATTCAGCACGCCCACCCACTTATTCTTCTCTTGATCACTATCAGCTAGGACCAGGATGGAGCACTTCTTACTGCCGGAGGCAGACAGCTGAGATGCCGTGACCTGCAGCACAGAAACTGCATCACAACTGAGCAACCAAACAAGGCGAAGATAACATTCTCAAATGCATACATAGTATGAAAATCCAGAAACAGAGGCTCTAGCAGTAACACACTTTCTGGATTAATTAAAAACAGGCCAAGCTCAAGCATAGCATAATTAAACCCACCCTGAATATACAAGGAATGTCCTTCCTACTGGCATGAATGACATCAGATGCCAATACTGAGCTGACTGAGAAATCTTCATCCCTACAGCAAAGAGAGAACAACTCTCAGGACAAAATAAAAGCACCAGGGAGCAGTAAAGGTAGATCAGACAGATGACTGACCTCATGTCGATGACCTGGCTGACGACTACACTGGGTTGAGCAGCCTTGCCCTCTGCCAGGTCATAAAGGAAGAGCTTAAAGTCACAAACAACAGCAAGGGCCTTCTGCCAGCCCTTCTTCACCCCTGCTGGTTTTGGCACCTGAGAGGCAGTTACAGGATTTCACACTGTTGAAACTGAGTTGTTGCACTAATTAACTCTATGAGCAAAAGTAAAGACAAAGACAATATTTTGGAGCAGAGGTCCTTACTCTGACTTGTCCCTCATAAACTGTGCCAATGCCTTTTTGGGGGTCAATACCCAGAGGCCCTTTCATTTGGTCTTGCGGGATAGGGCACACTGCAGGGGCTTTGTCCGCACATGTCACATGACAGGAGAAATTACAGACTGCAAGAAAAGAAAGAGAAGTAAGAGTAAGAGTAGGGAGTAGCCCTAATACAACCATAAACATCTTCTACAGTCCAGGAGCTAGGTTCTCAAAGCTTCTTGAGGGTTACTAACAACAGCTGTCCTCACTGTCTTATGATCCCCTTAACCTAGGAACACTTTGTGAATGGCTAGCAACCATCCTCGTTTTGTGTCATTCTCAAAAGACAGATTGTCATCTGACTGTAGATACATTAGCAGTATGCATACAGCCAACAGGAAAAGAGTGAGGAAGCCCATCTGCATGGCACGTCATTACCCACAGCCTAGTGTAAACAATAATGGGAACCATTAATTCTACATTATTGTTTTTTCATAAATGCAGTTTGATTATTTTTTTGGAAAATATGACAAGAAAGGAAAATATTGTGAGAAATTCTGTAGGATGCAGTTAAATCACACTGATCAGACAAGTATAATGGATGAGTTTTATTTTGTTATTGTTTATTTTAAATTGTATTTCACTGATATATAATCTGTTACTTTACTGTTACTGGAATCACAGTTGTCTGGGCTTTGTTAACTGCCCACTTTAAAAAGTGATCTAATTACAATTTCTTCCTCCTTCTCTTCTTACTGCTATTAGACAAATTTAACGTCATTGTAGGCTAAATTCAAGTGTTGCTCTCTACAGTTTTTATGGCGTTTCAGTTGATGCCAATGCAGTTTACAATGAGTGAGAGTGTTCTCTTCACACCGCTCTGTTGAGAGATTATGAATATTTTGTGTTTTCATGGGAGAAGTGCTCAGAGGTGGTCTTAAATTTTACTACAACCCCAAAGACAGATGTGATTAATGATATGATATGACATGAAATGTTTTAACAATCACTGCAGCAACCAGTTATGATCGAGGCCTTAAAGATATGAAGGTCATAGTGGGTTACGACTGTCTTGGTGATTTTCAAAAACAAAGCCCCAGCTCCACTGGTTACAGCATCCCTCACCTTCGCATGTACAGCCCTGTCGGATGAGTCCCACCATTAGAGAGGTACATTGGTTACACTTGGTGGGAGCGTTGAAAGACTTCACCACAAACTGATGAGCTTTTGGCTGCACAGAAATAGTTCAAAGAAAAATCAGCAGTTAAACGAAATGCAATTCACATGATAAGTTCTATTTTTGTCATTCAGACAACTTTGACCACCTTTTTCATTACTGATAAGATGCAGATTACCACTCCATACCTTAGGTGTGGCAAGGCCAGTGCTACTGTATCCTCCAGAACGCATGGTAGGTGTCTGTGCACCTCTCTGTGGATGATCCACAACCTGAAACAGAAAAGCAAGTTCTTAACTTAAAACACAATGATTATAATGGCATATACCATACAAATGTGTCACAGCAGATTTAGAGGATACCTCAAGAGGCTCCATGTCACTGGTGGTGGAAGGAGATCGAGAGCGGGACATGAGCTGGGACTTGCGGTCCTCATCCCTTGATGGTGTGTTGGACAGACTAAAGTTATCAATGGAGTCAATCTAGAGGTGCAGGGAAGAGGAACAAGATCAGACAAACAGGACACTAACCTTAAAGGTATCACACTTAAGACTTTCCCAGGATTTAAATGTTGTATTCTGTTTTAAAAAAAAATCTGCAGTAAGTATTGCACAAAATAAGTATTGTACAAAGCTATTTGAAATGTACTGCTGCTGCTCCTGTTTTTCTACAAATGAATGTGTTACATACACACAGGCCCTAAAGAAAGTCTAAACTAGCTCCTCAACAATGACAAAAACCTTTCTTGTATTACTGATAACGATGAGCTCTAAAATCCTAGGCAAATCTTATTTATTGCACTATTAACTCAGTAAGTGGCCAAACACTTCACACATTCAGAGCTAACGCATGCTTATACAGTGGACATTCAAAACGAGCACTGTATAACAAAGTCATGTGAATGCATACCAGTTATCAAATAACAGTAGAAATTAGCATTCTTAGGTCTGACAAGTTAAAGCCACAATCATTGATTTAAGAACACTAAAGATAAAAGTGATATGGAAATAAAGTGTATGGTTAGGAGCATGTTGCCCTCATCAATCACAACGTTTGGAAGTTAGGAACAATTAACATAACCACAACAGCATATGTATATTTAGAAAAATAAAAGGATAAAATAAAAGGAGTAAATACACACCAATTCGAATAAAATGAAAACAGCTTGAGAAATAAATGATTGTGTCTTTAAATGTCACAATGGACTTTCACTACAACATGAATGCAAAAAAACAAACAACAAAAAAACAAAAACTTCAAATGATGAATTGATCGAAAATTGCTTACAGATCAAGTCTAAAACCTGATCATATTATAATCATATGAAATGGTTACTTCTTTACACATGCAGCACCGAGACAAGCCTCAACTGCCCAAATTAGGGCACAATCAGCTACAAAGTTCTTATGATAAAATGAGAAGATTTGACAGTACCAAGAAAATGTGTGTTATGTACAATGAACCCCAGCTCACTGACAGGCACAGCAATGTGCATAAAAAAGAACTGATGTGGATAATTACTGATGAATGGGCAGTATATACACCCAACACTGTGATCCACAGGGTTGTTACGATAATGCAAGTCCAGTGCCATGCAAAAAGAGGATGCAGAGACATGCATCAAGGCCACACAATGCACCAAGATATCACACTGCCAATGGGAATACACCAGAGAGAATGTAAAGAGGACATTAACTTCACCCAATACACCACCAATGAAAAAGGGGAGCTTACACGTCTGCCTTTGCTGGCTGGGCCACAGGCAGGGGATCGCTTCAGTACAAACAAAAACAAATATGGAGAGTATACATCACAAATACAGGGAGGGACTACAGACAACATAAAATCTGCACTGCAACTACATGTCTAAAACCAGTTAAAAATAAGTTTGTTGGCTGTTGAACAGTTATAAAGGCAGGAACCAGATCAAAATCCAAAAACGGGGGTAAACAGCAGAAGCACTCAGAAAATCCTGCAAGAGCAACATTAAGATGGAAGAGTTTAAAAATAAAAGTTAACAGTTAAGTAGCCCAACCATTTCTCAGTACTCACATCAAACTGATCTAGGGCAGAAGTCGGAGCATTGAGGAATGCAAGGAAGGAGTTCTGCGAATCTTGGTGCTTGACGCCTGTAACACAAAGAACTTGGCTTCATATAAAACAAACAAAAATGTTCTAGGTCCGAACAATATGGTCAGAGAGGCTGGAAGTCAGCCAGTGATAAGAGGGTGGTTGAGTTTACCCTTAGACATCCGCAGATCGTCCGTTTCTCGTTTCAGTCTCTCAATCTCTACCTGCAGTTCCTGGTTCTTCTTCTCAGATTCCTGGAGTTTGCTGAGGGAGAGCAAACAATCATTCAAAGGCAATGAAAGCTGTCTATGACTGCAGAACTTAGAATCTCTTACAATACAATAATACTTAAGCAACAAAACTGCACACTTCTTTCGTGCTTCCAACTGGATTCCTAAATGCCTAAACAAGCAAAGAAGCCAAAAGAAGTGATTACAAAATCTTGAAACTGGTCCTTACCATTCTGTGGCCATGTTGGCAGCCTTGACTTTGTTGAGTTCATCTTGAATGGTTTGCTTTGCTCGGATTTCTGCATCCAGAGCAGACTGCAGCTCTAGACGGGCAGACATGTCCAGCTTAGCCAAGCGTCGCATCTTCCATGGCATGTCCTACCACAAGCACAGGAACGTGGTTAATACATGCTGTCACTACGCTTGCAAAAACCTCACAGGTCCTGCAGTTCTTGAAAAAAGAAAAAAGAAGTGGCTCAGAATTCTTTTATTAAAATTGAATCCAGGATCCTACCGTAGATCGGGCTCCAAGACTTGTGTTCCTCAGGCCCTCCAGCTCCTCAGTCATCTTAGTGGCCAGAGCCTGGAGGTAGCCCCGTGCATCCTTCTCATCGCTCACCCTGCAGACCATGGTTTCAAAACTGCATTACCATTCATTACCACTAGATGACATTATGAAAGCATACTGCCTGATTTAGCAGGAAAAAGTATTCAACTGCCAAAGACTACTTTCCAAAGAGCTTTAGTGTACCAATCTTTGTGTCACTCACCACTGGATGATCTCTGTGATTTGGGCCTCCCAGTGGGCCACACTCTCTTTCTTATCAGCCAGCTCTCTCATTTCCTCCTCAAGCTGCTTGTGACTATAGCTCAGCTTTTCATACGAAGTTGTCAACTATACAGGCACATACACAAATGAAAAAGATACTTTAAATGTCTTCAGTAACAATCATACCTCTAAATACAAATGGCAACATCAGTAATGTAAGGTATTTTTTTTACACAGGGTACATAGCTTCAAGGGCTACAAACAGTTCATTAAGAGCACTGACTGCTTTGAGTCAGCAAAACTTGGTGACCTCAGTAAGAAATGGCTCGATACTGTTAGAACCTCAGGGATGTGGATATGGTCTACAGGCGCAATAAAGTAAACTTCAGCAGTGGCCCAAAGACAGCAAGCCCAGCAGAACTGCATTAACCACAGGGGAAGTGCATGACCTCGCAGACTATAAAGCAGAAGATACTTCACTAAGAAACAAGGAAATAAAGGACACAGTCACATACTCTCAGACTCAGGGATGCAAGAACACACATCTGGGAGAGGTAGTGACTGCCAACATCAGCCTGCTTTCTATTACCTTTATGTAAGAGATTCATAAATCTTGTTTAAGCGCTCATGTGGACTGCTAGTCCTCATTTAGCACAACAGTACCTTGTCAGTTTGAGTCCCTGAACACAATAAATAATCCAGAAATAACACAACCAGTTCAGAGAAGTAATCATCCTTAAGAGGATAATCAAATGCTAGAGAGACAGAGAGAGAAAAGAGGGGAAGGAACCACCGTAATGTGCTACGCTCACTAAGGAAGGTGAGCGTAGTACCTTACAAAGCCTCTGTGTCACAGATACTCCGAGCAGGCACTCCCCTAAACCCCTGATCTCTGCCAGCCGTACTCTCATTCATAAACATGAGTCTGTGGAGTCACGGTTCGGCCTATCTGCTGTAAACACGTCTGTTAGCTGGCCGCAACGACTTAGGAATTCAGAGGATTCTGTGTTTACCTCAAGGGCTAGTGAGGTTTTCCACCACACTGTGATTATGACAAATTATTCCAAACATTTCATGTTTTAAGTGCACTCTGACAGACGCTCTGAACCCCTGCAGCGGTTTTGAACAGAGGCGCATGTTTTTTTCAAATTCCAATGTTTCTTAGCATATTCACTGTGCTTACACAAGCTGAAGCTACTGACTGAATTCCCAAGAACATGCTGGCAGGCACACATCTTTCAAAGCAACGAAAGACTTCAGAGAAGGCTGCTGTTTCTGTTTTTCTCAATCAAGAGCTACACTACAGCATTTCTCTAAGGGCTCCGAAAAGGTTGTATGGACAGCCTTTTTGTGTTTTATAAAACCATACAATCTCATTTGAAACATTATGTCAAAACTTCTACAGGAGAAGATTTTGTTGGTTTCCTTTTCTTCCAAAGTCGACAGAACCTTGTCCAAGAACTTTTCCCTTCTTTTGTGAGTGTATAAGGCCATGCCATTTACTTGAGAGTGAAAAAGGCTGTTTGATTTGAGAGACTCACTAAGATGAGCCATGAGAGGATGCAGAAAGGGTGAGGAGGGGGGGTGGCGGTGGTGGTGTAAGAGGACACCATTTATGGGAGCTAATAAGACAGCACACACTGAGCCGACTCTCTTTGATCCACTGCAGCATCAGCCAGGCTTTCAGACGCCAGAGCATTCCGCCAGAGAACGCATACAGGTTATCTGAGAGGATACTGCATCACACATAGTCTCTTTAAAAGCTTTATATGAGTTATTGTAGGTGCTTTGCATGCCTGGAACAATTAGAACAAGAAATGCTCATGTTTGACTCCAATAAAAAGTATCTAGAGTCTGGCTGCCCTCATTAGACTAACACCACTGCCAGTCTATGGACAAATGCCCTTGAACTTGCCCTAGTTCATTATGATCATACCAAAATGGCATGAAGTTCTGAATTTAGACTTGAGTAATAGGACCTTGCAGAAAAGGAGGCAGGCAGGAAGTGGAAAACTGTGTCTCAAAGAGAAAGAAAAAGTGAAAAACCTAAGAAAGAAAGAAAGAAAGAGAAAGAAAAACATAAAAACTCACGTTGTCCAATTCACTGGAGAGTTTCTTGTTCTCCTCGGTCAGTAGGACCCGCTCCCTCTCATACTTCTGCTTGTAGTCTGTCTCAAACTCCTCTCGTTCAGTTTGACTGTGGGGTAAGAGATTGATATGTTTTTTTAAACCTTAAATAAAACAGTCAAGGAAACCTGGCAAACATACCCACAATGACTAATCTATCCCATATTGAACCCATAAATTACTTTTAAACAGATTTTAAAAATCATTTGTATCAAAGGAAAAAAAATCTCCACATAAAGGGTTTTGAGATTAAAGCGGTTGTACCTCTCTCTGCGAGTCTTTTCCAGCTTGTCTTTCAGCATCATGATCTCTTTCTTTAGGGAGACCTGCTGGGCCTCAGCATCCCGGAGCTCCTTCTTCAAGTTCTTCACCTCGCTGGTGTGCTGCAGGTCACGGCGAGAGAGCTCCTCCTCATAGAATACGGTCTTCTTCTCCAGGTCTGCACGCAGCTTACTCAGCTCTTGGTGCTGCTCTGTGGCCCCAGCAGCTGGAGAGCGACCCACCTGCTTTTGCTGCTCCAGTGCACAGTAAGGAGCAGATTACATACCCAGTATTCAGCAGTAAGACTGATGTATTCATATTCAGTTTCTTTACAGATCATGTCCCAGTTTCACTTTGTGTGTGTTTTATCAATGCATGGATCCAACACCATAACAGGAATACAATAAACACAATACAAAACAATGGGCCTCATTCTCCAACTCTTCTTAAGAAGAAATTTCTTCTTAAAATCCACTTATGCAGTTCTCACCAAGATTCTGTCATTTATCAATGTTTTCTGATTTGGGATTAGTTCTTAGGCCAGAACAGAATCTACTCACACTCCAGAGCACAAAGGTGTGAACAGTTCTGCGCTTTAAGAACACGTCACGAATCTGACAGACTTTTTCCTAGGACTTTACTCAAGAACGAATTTAAGAAAAAAAAACTTCGGAAGATATTGGTGAATGAAACTGAATGAAACTGTTACACATGCCAGCTTCAGGGTATATGTTTAACAAGGGTGCGAGTGTTTGTGCTCTGTGGGGGGTGTTTATGTACCTTCATTCTCTCCAGTTCCTCTTCCAGCTGTCTGCTGTATTGTTCACTGCGCTCCCTCAGCTTCTTCTCTTTCTGGGCTTCAGCAGCCCGCTCCTCTGCCTGGGTTTCCGTCTGACGCAGACACGCATAAGCTTTCTTAACAACACATTTCTGACAACTCTGATAAACAATGGTATGACAGTGTGAAAGTCATAGACACATTTCTCCCACCTCTTTTCTTGTCCTTTCCGCTTTACGCACATCAAGCCGAAGGGCCTCCAGCTTATGGTTGACCGCGTCCATCTCCTCCTCCTTATCCCGGAGCTGGCGGGAGAGACGCTGCTTGTGTGAAAGCAGCTCTGTCACCTTCTCACTCATCTCAGAGAACTCCTGCATAGCCAGCCTCCTCTGGCTGTCCGCCTCTTTCAGCTCCTTTGTTTGAGCCTTCTGCCTCTCTGTAGATTCCAACAGCTCCTGCATACACAACAGACCAGTAGGACTCAGAGGCTCATAAAGCCTGTCATCATTTTTGGTAATCATCATAAAACATGGTATACACTCACAGAGACTATACAGGGTGTCTGGTGAAAGTATGCACATGTTAATTATAGTTCAAGAGCACAGACCTAAGAAGGGCCACCTAATATGCCCATTCTGAGTGACATGTTTGTAACCATAAACCTGTACCTTCTGCGTATCGTCTCTCTCCTGCTTCAATGTCTTTATCTGCTTCTCTAGAGAGCGAATGTGCTTGGTGGACTCCTCTAGATCCCTGCGGGCTGCACTGGCCTGTTCCAACTTCTGCTCTAACTGGCCAGAGTCTAAGAATAGAAAAATAAATAAAATTGGCCAAGGACAGCATAAAGAGGCAAAGAAAATGAGAAAAAGAGAAATAGAGAAATATCAGACGATACTGTACATGCACCCCTGCTCTACCATTTTGCAGGGTACATACCATACCAGTGACATAACCAGTGTGGCAGGAAGTTTCAAGTACCTGCAATTTGTTTCCTCAAAGTCTCAATCTCCTCCTTCAGCCCTCGGATCTCAAATTCCCTGTTAGCAGAGACAGGACCATCTCCACTGGAGTACTGCAGAGCTTGCACTGTCTTAGTAGACTCTGAGAAACAGTACAAACATGAGTGAACAAGGGACAACCTCAAAGAAACTTCATTAAAGTAAAACTCTAACTTTCTTGAAAAAGCAGCTCAAAAAGTAGTCACTGCAATCACAAGTAAATGACAGATGAAGATAAGCCGGTAACTGCCCACAGCTATCCATGTGAACTAATGTGCTTAGTTGTGACTGGGAGACAGACCCTGCAGTTTGCGGCTGAGCTCCAGCTTCTCCTGCTCTAGACGGCGGATCCTCCTCTCGTATGCCTCAGTAGCCAGACTCTCCTCCAAACTACGCTGCACACACACGTCCATCTGCACAGGTGCTGTGGACTCACGCAGACACCCACGGTCTGACAGAGAGCTGGAGGAACAGTGATCAGAGGTGAAACTTACAGTCACTGTCAAGTTGTGTCAAGTCACATCGTTTCAGAAGTCTCCTGAATGTCTGATCGACAAGGGCCTCTTCTTTATTTTGGTAAAAAATGACCAAACATAACAAAATTACCACAACACAATCATTACTGCTGCAAACAAATCACTGTCTTCATTTAGAACATTAGATAAAACTATAGTTGTCCAAGTTCCCAGAGGTTGAGGTTGTAAGGCCTGTATGCAGATCTTGTACCTGCAAAGTGAATTAGCATCATGAAGTCAGCAATACAATTACGCTGCTCAAGAAAATGTGTATTTCAGGTATCTTAATACAGATTGTGAATGACTGATAACTGGCCATGTGGAAATCATCAAAACACAGTTTGCAATAAGCATTCTGTCTCACTCCTTCTGACTGCCAGATGTGGAGCTGAAAGAACTCATCTAGAGTACAGCTGCAGGTAGCACTGCTGAGTTCACAGCATGAGGTAAGGCCACATTGACTGTGAACCTGGAGAATGTGCAGTGCCAGCACTGCATGGACAACCGCCAGCACATTGCCCTTTAGTCCCACCCAGTGCAAAGAAATAATCTTGGCAGAGTGACAAGACAGTGACCTCCATTCATACTACAAGATAGATATGCACACCACAGAAAAATGACCTACACCTCAAGTGTGAAGCCTTTGTTTCAACGGAGAAACCCCTTTGCTGTCACTAAAGCAAACAAGCAATTTATGTATCTGATAAAACATACTTAAATGCCACAGCTACAATAATGACCAGAAAGTTATCAATTACCTTTTGTGCCATGGTAGCAACTATAACAAATCAACCACAAGTCAGCAATGTATCACAGCCCGACTAGAGCCAAGGAGTGAAATACAGTACAGGGAGATTCACTCGAAAGAGGCCCTGAATATTCTGTAATAACTCTTGCCAGGATGAAGTAATCTGAATAAAACAATGTGCAATGTGCTCCTCAGTACATGGAGCTTCGAACAAGTCGGGATGCCCCTTCGTCGGAGCAATGGGGTAGGCACCGGACAGCCGTCGCGACGTTTAACCTCTGTTTGCAACTTCCGGGTGCATAACCCCCGTACCCCTTCATGTGTCTGGCAGAAAACAGAGATCACTACATCGCATGTAATGCAATCGATTACACATTCGTCAAGGTATGTAGCATATTTTTTGGTTCAGACTGCTTCATCCTAACGGGAGTTACAAAAGAATATTCAGGGCCTTATGCGAGTGAATCTCCCTGTACAACAATGTATGTGTTAAAGTACACAAGCTATGAAGAAAACCAGCCATAGTGCCACTGTGTGCAGTCAGATTTTGTAGTTAGTGCTACAGTGAAGGTAACCCTCTCAGATAGAGTGTGGGAAAAGCCCAGCACAAGGCACAGGATTCTGCTTCTGAGGAGTGTCTACAATCGAATCTGTCAAAGCTACAGATAAAGCACTGGAGTGGTCACCCACTGGTGTGGAGGGGTCGTCCTGCTGAGTTTCTAACAGCACCATGATAGAATTTCCAAACGGCTTTATCTGAATCTATCGGACAGCTGCTCCCGTACGGGTGCTAGTGTGGGGAAACCAGCAAGAATGACCAAGTGATACACAAGGTGCAAAATACAGGGGCTTCTGACCCCCTAATTAACCTCTTGGACCCCTTGAATGAGGGAGCTCCTGTTTTTGGTTCTTATCCAACTAGAGATGCAGCACTCATTTGCCTTAGAGTGACGCTACTGCAAATTTGTTCACCCTGTTGGTCCTTCATGGCCCAACAACTGTAACTATGCCCAGAATACCCCTGGAATACAATATGTTTGTAAATCTGAAAACTTGCACAGTTTTCCAACAGTTTAGTGGTAAGAGTATATTGTTACTCATTCCTGAAATCAAAGACAAACGTGGAGATGTGTAAGATCTCACTGTAAAGAAGAGCGCATTACCAAACTAGAAAGAGCATTTCCAAAAGAAAAAATGCTAAATCAGCACCAATATGGGGCCCCCCGAATACCAATACACTGTCAAAACACAATCTAGTGCCCCAGTCTAGCAGACGCATCATAAGCAGGGATGCTAATCTGGGCAAATCAATGATAGCAGCCCAAGCGAGTGAGGTCAGCCAGATTAATGCAAACAAGAGAGAAGTTATGCTCACACTCCATGAGAATCATGGCACGATCCTACAGCTCTGACAGCATTATTGTTTTTTTCGCCAAATGAGGACTTTTTGTGGCTGTCTACAGTAAGTAGTCAGTTTTATAGCTCTATTTGCTTTAAACATTATGTGTTACTCTGACTTTTAAACAGACACTACAAGTTCTCTAAATCACATGTCAATGTAGCAAACAGCATGTTTCACAATACAGACAGGATTTGATTAAAATCTATACACTTGAGATGTATTGCCAAGAAAACATTGGAGTCTGTTGTGTGCTGAGACCTTACCACTGGCTGGTGTAGGTGAAGCCAACAAATGGAAGATGATGTCCAGAGAAGGCCGTTATAGAAGGAGGAGGCATTGTCTCCTGAAAATGGAAAAATATCTGATTTAGCTCCAATACACAAAGCTCTACAGCAAAACATTTGGTGACTCAGAAACACTTCTTAACTCTTGTTTTGATTCCATGATATATAATCATCATAAATACACAAACATGACAGACTGTAATAAAATGTTCTTCCAATCCACCAATTTAGGGTGCAAAATGCAACAAGGTTGTCAGACAAAAAAATATCCCACCGAATTTTTGAGGCAGTCATCCTCCACATCAAAGTTGGAGGTGTCCGAGGGGCTGCTGACTTCTGGGATGTATGGTGCATCACAGTTGCGGATGTTCTCCCAGTCAATGCCAGAGAAAAAGGGGTGCTGCTTGAAGTCCTGGATCCCATTTTGGCCCAGTCGGTGCTCTCTGCTGCAGATGAGTCTGCGGATCAGGTCTTTGGCATTCTCAGAAACCTCTGCGATATGAGCAGGGAACTGGAACCGCTCCTAAAATAGTGTAAGGCCAGCGTTTTAATTCATGGCTATTTGCAAGAGGATGTCAGGAGACAATGACAATATTAAAAAATAATTAATTAAATAAATAACGGTTACTAATACAATGATTTATTTGTAAATGATACTGTTAATTATTCAATAACACAACAGCTCATTTCCAAACCCTATATTAACTTCTTACCTTGTGGTTCATGATCTTGCCATAAGTCTCCACCAGGGATTCGGCATAGAAAGGTGTTTCCCCATACAGCATTTCATACATACAGACGCCCAGAGACCACCAGTCACACTCAGGGCCATACTTGCCCTTGCCATCCTCCATGGCCTGCAGGATCTCTGGAGAGATGTAATCTGGAGTGCCAACTGCCACAGAGGACTGCACCTAAAAGATAACATCACACTATAAGCACCATGTTGCAGCAAAGGAAAGCAAACATCACAAAAAACATTGAGAAGACTCAAGAAGACTTCCTATGGAATTTCATACTCTTATTTTCTTTTCTACTTTATAATGTTCTTAATGATATTATAATCCAAAGAAAGGGTACCTGAGCACTAAACTTTGCACAAAGACAGACAAGCACCTGCCTTGCCTGACAGAGGCAGAATTACAGAGGATGGGGTCATTTACATAACACCAGGTATTCATGGTGCAGAGTCCATAAAAAGAGCTCTTTGCTGCCAATGACAACAGGGAAACAAACAAAAGCTCCTGTGTCTAAGAGCATATCTGACCAGATTTCATCATTAACTCAGCGGGTGATGCTAAAAAAGGGTGTTTCTCAGCTCTTTCTGAGCTTTGAAATAATCAGTGCTCAGGAATGCCTCTCTGTTTCTACATAGGTCATCACAATGAAATGCAAATGTGCTGAAGCAGGGTGGTTCATGCTCTCACACTGGACACAACCAGCAGAACCATGCCTGGCCTCCAAAAAAAAAACGTGTTTCACACTACTGTGAGTGTCTTTCCACAAGTTAAATTCTCAAAGAGCAGCCAGCCCTGTGAGCTGAGAAGAGAAAAGAGATTGTCAGAGAGTTGTCAGAGAGGAAGCCCTGGTGAAGGACAGGGTGATTGGTGTTCCCCGTCAGAACATCTGAGTGAAGCCTTTGTGCAGATGTGTGCAGCTGGAAGAATTTGCGGAAGTGAGGCAATAAATTAGCCATTTCTCCTGCAGTGACACAGTCCTTCTATATGTACACACACACTCGTAAAAACACGCGTGAACAGCTTTAAGCACGCACGCGTGAGCATGCTGAGACACACGCGCGCACTCACACTCGTCTTGTCGGAGGAAAGGGGGAAATCCTGCCGAGTTGTCTGTGACGTGCCAAAAAACAGCAGCAAATCTTAGTTAAAGGTCATAAGGAACACTACTCCTAACTGTCTTGCATTGAACTATATGCCTCAAGATTTTTTATAGAAGAATATAAATTGCCTTCACAACTCGTGGTCTTTTCCTGGGATCACTGTAATTATTAATTATTACAGAGGAACCACACATAAATCATTTTTCACACTTGCCTGGCTAATCTGCCACTCAGAGATATGCTTTCAAACTTTTCATATTGTACTTTGACACATTTGGTTTGTATAAAAAGTCTCTCTCTGAATGTATGAAGTGGTTCAAATTTCATTTCTTGCTTTATAATGTAGTAAAGGAAATTGAAGGAAACATTTGTAATTAGGGGTAAGACTGGGCAATATATCATTATCGTGATAAATTATGTCAATACGCTTTTTTGAACATGTGGATATCGTCAGTATCGATGGTATTTTTTAAAATGTAGCACTACTGGTTCTTTTTTCTCTGTTCCAACTGATCACATGAAAAAAATCAAATATCGTGACACATCATGAAAATTTATTGAAGTATCACAGTATTTTATTTTTGCCATACCTCCCACCTCTAATTAAGGCTGGGCAATATGACGATATTTTATCACTGTTGTGATAAATTACTTCACAATAAGCTTTTCTGTGATCAGAGTGACAGGAAACCTGATGACAATGCTTCACAGGCAATTATATATAATATACAATAAATTCACCACTGTCTCTGCTGGGAGTTTCTCAGAATGTCATCTGAGGAAAATTCAAAGCATTTTCCATACAGTGTAAATGTCCTGACGGTAAAATTATCAAAATATAATACTTCTAGGTTTCCCACATGCACCTATAGTGGCGTTCCAGAGGCCCTCCGCTGTAATGACAAAACTAGAATATAACTGATAATCTGCTAATAATTTTTAGATATTGCCCATACCTATTCTTTGTGCATATACTTTTTCTTTCTCTCTATTTCCCTAAAACTCAGACTCAAACTGTAGTCTAAACCTGCCGACACCAAGTAAGAGGCTCTTGGCCTAAAATAATTACCTAGAGAAGCCTGTTCAATGATGAGGAGATTCACGTTCCTGCTTTGCTATACAGCTAAGCTCAAGAATAGCAACATGGACCGCTCATTACAAAGTTCTCTCTTTTTATTCTATAACTAAATATTTTGATTAAAGATTAGGATTTAGAACAATGGGACATCGGCCATCCTTACCGTTCCATCCTCCATGAGCTTAAGGCAGGAGCCAAAATCTGCCAATCGAATGTGTCCATTCACATCCAACAGAATGTTGTCTGGCTTGATATCTCTGAAAGAGGGGAGGGAGACAACTAAGTACTCCACATAATACAGTCTATATTAATATAAACACAACATCTAACATGCATATTCATACATATTTCATACATCTAAAAGAAATAACAGGAGAATTACAAATACATAATTTAACAAGGACATTAACCATCAGGTCCTGAAAGAGGTAGAGGCGGACTGAACACTGAGCGGAGTGTTTTTTTTTTTTTTCTCCACTCTGGGGTCATGAGCTCAGTAAAGCATTCTTCACACAATACAGATCTGCAGTTCACATCCAATGACAACACACGCTTGCAAGAGCTCATAACACAAAGGGGCCGTAGACACCAGTGCAAGAATTCATACCAGAAATTCTAACTTCTCATTAGTGCTGCAGCGCTCTGCAAGGGTCATGTTTACTACACGTCCAGAGGAAGCCAAAACACTGTGTAACAGAGTTTTAGGCACGCCACTGAATGTCTGAGCAACATGATATTAATTTACAAATTAATACTAGACAATACAGTGACTTATCAGGACAGCCAGTAATACCAATTTAAAGCGAGCTGGAAAAAGAGATAAAAAGAGAACAAAAGACAATTCTTCAGCTGAATAATGAAAATAAAACAAAAAAAGAAAATGAAAGAAAGGCACACAAAATAAACCTTACATCAGTTTAAAGAAGAAAAATAAGAGTATTTTTGTTCTTAACACAGGAAATTGATGTGGCAAGCCAGAAACAGAACATCTGTCAAGACGGACATTAAAAACATCTGAACAGGCTGTACGAGGCCTACACAGTAAATAACAGAGTTAAAAATAAAATAACATGCACCACACTTCCTACACATTTTTGCTGTTTTGCTTCTACAAACGTCACCAGCGCTCTGTCTTGCAATGAAAATAAAATTGGGGAGAAACTCATCACACTGCTATGTGTCTTCTACACATTTATCTAGACGTCAGAGTTCCTGTGGCTGAGTGTGTTTGCACAGCCCCAGAGAAAGTGAGAGGCCTCTGCAGTAGTTTGGATTGGTTCACATCTCCATCTCATTAGAGACACTGTTTATTTGTTCCTCCTCCTCTCTGTCTGCTTTCCCTCAGTGTTTACAAAAAGCTTCAGCTACTGTGAAGAGCCTGTTGGCCCAAGAGAATACAGAGCACTGTTCACACGCAAACCAGAGAATGAGAGCAAGTAAACGAAAAGAGAGCAAGAGAGAGCGAGCAAGAAAGAGTCAGCGAGAGCTCCACTCTTTAGCATGTCACCCACCAGAAAGAAATACACACTATAAGGTTAAACATGGTGTCATTCCAATCAGTCTTCCAGGGATTTCTCAACTCGGTAAACCACAAGCTAGTGAAAAATTGTCAGTGAAAAATCCTGCTGCATAAAAAAACCTGTATTAAGACATTTTTTGCCATGTTGACCAATTACAGTTATATCAAAGCATACACAAACATACATTCTTTAGACCCTGATTGTAGGCAGTATATTCATGTGTGAAACTGGTTAAACAATGGCAAGAACTCTCAAACAGACAATCTGCAGCAATAGTAACATAGAGCTAAAGGCTGGGCTAGAACACTCATATGCTTAAATCAAAACACAACAAGACTTCTGAGAACTGCCATTAGTGGGAAACTGTTATCGTTATGCTCTCAAGAGGATGAGATAAGTGGGTATGATCAAGTAAGATTTCACACAGTTCTGTGTAGATTCTTCAAAATAATACTGAATTAAAATGCTGCATGTCATGAACAACATGACATGCAGATTACAACACTTGAACAGCAGTTGTGTTACCCTTACACATTCAGCTGGTGAATCCGTTCACTGTCAAATTCACTGTCGCCACTTTGTTTTCCAGATAGAGACGATATCACTGATCTTAACAGCTTTGGAGATGGATGATTTATCTGATATATTATGTCACATTAGGCAACATCATGAATTTTGTGGTGATCATAACATGCAGGCAGCTGTGTTTTCTGTTTAATGCAGGCAACTGCGTGTTCTGCAGATAGCGGCCGGTGTAGTAGTCTCGTGATGCTTGTCTTCTGACTATGAGCGTGTTATACTACAAAATACTGAGACACAATTTTTTTAACCATATCTCCCAGCCCTAGTTGGAGGTACAAATAAATGAAATTAGACATTTAAAAATAAACGATAGAATAAATAAAAAAAAATCTAGATCTATTTTTAAGTATGTAGTCTGTTTGGAACTACACAAAACTGTTTCAGCCTTCTTGGAGCATAATTAACATCACTAATACAAAAAGACATTAAGAAATGCATGATTTCTTTTTTTAAATGCAAAAAAATAAATTAATTACAACTCTAGAGTAACTCTGACTGACTTTGACCTTCACATTCTTGGCCCCACTAGAGAGACTGCTTATACTGGCTCAGACACTATTCCAACTCAGCAGCCCAGCAGGTGGCAGCTCTTTACCAAACACACAGTAACACAGAGCCATAGGAGGCTTAGGGTATTTCATACCACTTCCCCTCTGGTCAGCAGGTGTAACCAGAGAATATGTAAAGAGGAAAATTACCACTCTGTAATGTCTTCTGGGTTTGTCAAACGCTAGAGGGCGCTCCCAAGCGAGTCCAAAATGAACGGGTTAATATTGAGCATTTAAGCAAAACTATAGTTTGCAAATGCTTAAACGTTTTTTATAAAGAATGCATTCATTTCCTGAATACAGAACAGCATAAAAGATTTTAACACCGCTGTTATATTTCTGAGCACTTTTGAACTCCAGTTGTAAGACTTTATAACGGTGCCCCATGCGTTTGTTCAGTTATATTTTGACATATTCTCAAAATTTACTGTGATGTTCCTCATGACAACAAACGCACATCACCCTATATTGCACTTAAGCATTTGTCACTCTTCAACAGAACTAATTCAACATCTAAACAGCTCAGGGGTCCATGAGCTAAATTATGGGTGTATAAGGACAGTGCAACACTGAAGAGTGCAGTGCTGAGTTGGTGGTGAACAGATGAATAAGACTGGTCTATGGGCATTAACATAGCTTGTTTAAAGGCAAATAATCCCATAATTAGTAATATGAAGACAACAAAAAAAGGCCTTTCAATTGAAGGGAACCAAGAGATTAGTGTGTGAACAGAGAGCATCTGTGTCAGCAAGAAAAACTCATAGAATGAAGCATCTGGGGAAGAGCTAGCTAGGATCAGGTATCACAGGTGGGCAGGTGGTAGACTTAGCAATGGTGAGTGGGGGTGTATGTCTGTCTCTGTGTGTGGTCAAGGATCAGTGAGCCTGAGTGAAGCAGAACTACTGGGTTAAAAATAACTTCTCTTCCTCCTGCACACCCTGACCAGACACACGCTGATTCAACTCCAACCTTCTGCAGCCAGAGCTCTGACCCCTGAGAGAAAGCCCAGAGGCCGGTATCTATAGAAACACTCAGTCAAACAGTACATTAGACACTACCGCTGACATCTCTATTTCACTCTCCTTCATATACACAAGGCACATACATTGGTAAATAATAAGCACATTTTCCACCCTGCTTATTTTTACAGTCCCAAAAACTGTTCTTAGCGAGAGTGTTGCAATAGCATGGTGGATTCCTTTTTTTGACTCACTAAAAAGTTGACGAAGAGTTTCAGCCCAAAGTGCTGTACATACATTTGTAACAATTTTGAACATACTGATTTTCTGAAAAGAATAACAGCTAAAGCATAATGGAAAACACACTTTATTTCTTTTGCAATAAAGATAGTATTAAAATATGATATTGTATTGTTATTATTTGTATGCATAAAGTCTACTCCTAACAATGCATATCATTTTTGAAAGTGGTCTATAATGCATTTTGGGATGAACCTCTCCAAATATCTTAGTCCAGGTGTAGACAAATATATCAATTTTGCAATGGCCACTCAGGTAACCAAGCCAATGACTCTTGTGGCCAAAATTAAAAGTCTGGCCACTAGCCACTGTCCAAAATTACAGAAACATGTTTATTGTATATACATTGAATTTTGACTGAACAAGCAAGCTTCAGCGTCAAAAGTCAGTCAGATGTTGCTTTAAAAAATATATATTTTTTTAAACTTTATATTTATAAGAACACAAACACACATGCTTGCACCTGTAAAGCAGTTTTGAGTTCCTCTGCGAGGGGGACCTATAAGCTATAGCCTGTTTTGTTTCAACTGGATTGCTAAACTGGAGTAACGGTTTGCTAAAAGTAGATAAAGCATTTTTAGTGGCCAAAACACAAAATGCTGTGCCCAGGGGCACCAGGCAATAGGCAAACTTGACCCGTCTTTGTCAAAAATAGTTCAGTAATAAGATCCAAACAAATTTAAAATGCAAATTTAAATACAACAATAAAACACTTGTTTCCATATGTACGCCACAGAAGGCAGGGCAGCTCTTTGAGTCATACTATTCTCACAAAACATCGCCTAACAGGAAAACATAAATAAATGAGAAGGCTGTTCCTGGCCTTGGCAGAGCCAGCCACACAGCACAGCAGCCAGGCTTTCCCAAATTTGGCAGCATATGCCAGACTGAGAAGCAGGACGCGTCAGAGACGTGCTAGAGCGTGTAAACATGGGCATACTTACAGACAGAGCACACAAGGGACACCATTTTAATAGAGTGGAATGCAAAAAGAGAGCAAACAAGTAGGTAAAAGTTACAGAAGCATCTGGATTCTCTGAACAGTAAAAGCAGCAGAAAAAAATGAACACACAAATGAGCAGAGATGTACAGACAGAGTGAGAGTTGGTGACAAGCAAAGCAGAGGGAGAGTGAGCGCGAAAAGAGAGCCAAACATAGTGTGGGCGAAAGAGAGAAAGACGGAGGCAGACAGACCGAGAGAGGAACAAAAAAAAAAAAAAAAGAGGGTAATTCTGGAGATTTCCAATTAAGGCGTGTGTGATTCCTGGCTTGTGGCATGCCTGGGAGGTGACTCTGAGCGCTTATCGGCTCTAAAGCCCTGAAGCAGTGTTTACAGAGACAGGGCACT